AGCCAAGACATGGAAGCAACCTAAATGTCCATCGACAGATGACTGGGTAAAGAAGCTGTAGTTTATTTATACAGTGTAATACTACTCAGCCATTAAAAAGAATAAAATAATATCATTTGCAGCAACATGGATGGACCCGGAAATCATTATTCTAAGTGAAAGAAGCCAGAAAGAGAAAGAAAAATAGTATATGATATCACTTATGTGTGGAATCTAAAAAAAGAAAAAAGAAGACTAATGAACTTATCTACAAAACAGGAACAGACTCACATAGTAAACAATCTTATGGTTATAAAGGGGAAAGAAGGTGGGAAGGGATAAATTGGGAGCTTGAGATTTGCAATTATTAACTAGTATATACAAAATATATAAACAACAAGTTTCTTCTGTATAGCACAGGGAACTATATTCAATATCTTGTAGTAACCTATAATAAAAAAGAATATGAAAAAGAATATATGTATGTATATGTATGACTGAAACATTATGCTGTACACCAGAAACTGACACATTGTAAACTGACTTATACATCAGTTAAAAAAAAATCACGTGGGGAATTCTTCAAATTTCCAATGCTTCTGCCGCATTCCAAATCAGGATCTCAGAGAGCAGACCCCAGCATCTGCATGTTTAAAGCTCCCCAGGTGACCTCAACTTGCTACCAAGTTGGAGCACCCCTGTGGGGTTAGAACCACTGGTTCCCAGGTGAGGGAAAATTGCTTGGAGGCACCATCCACCCTTTTTTTTTGGTAGAAATGATAGTTCTTGGATTATAATGAAATGTTTGAAGAGGGAACTTACACCTATCTAATAATTTCTACATTAATTTAATATCCCCAATTCTCAAAATTACAACAGTGTTTTCCATTTTTCTCCAGGGAACACAGAACCTTTATTCTCTTGGAAAACCTCTTGAGACCTCTCACTGTTTCTTTCCCTAGGTTATCACGGTCCTCTCTCAAATGTCTGCAGATATATTTGTAACTTCATTTTACAGATATGGAAACTGAGGCCCAGAGAATCAGAGTGTGTTATCAGAGTTCCACAGTTAATGAGCATCAGAACAAGCAACAATGAGACAGGTTTCCCCAGTTCCCTTGCACACACATCTCCCATGTGCTCCTCTGGGGCAATGCTTCACTTTGGTGACAGTTGCAAGGGGTCTAATCTGGGATTCCAAGTGATCTGTGGAGTTTCCTTTTGTGTGGAGTAAAGTTGGGTCTACTGTGAGCCCTGGATTCAGGCTACTCAGGACATGAAGCTCTCTTCTGCTATTATTAGCTTTGGGATCTTGGGCCAGTTGCTTTACCTGTCTAGCCTTCAGTTTTTGAATCTGTAAAATGAGGATTAAAACCTCTGCCTTGTAAGGTGGTTGTGAAAATTAAGATTATGTGTCAATTGTTTTCAATAATGATACTCTGGCAGCCACCTGGGTGGTGCTATCTCAGCTGGTTTCCGCCAGGGGGAGGACAGGTATACTAATGCCAGGTAGATTTTACCTTGAGAGAAATATTCTGTATTCATCCACTGAAGAAACATTTATTGAGCAGCTTACTGTATGTTTTATCTATTTATCAGTATGTTCCATCTATACCTACTGATAGGTACACCTTGAAGGAGAAGGAGAAATACATTTTAGGGATTTCTTCCTGAAAAGGGGCCTGGTTCCAGGTTCCATCCCAGTGGTCTCCTCCAGGAGCTGGAGGGAACCACTGGACTTGAACTCAGACTTTCCTGGCTCTCTAAAGAAAGATGGCAAAGTCTGCCCCCTAGAGGCCAACAACTACTCCTGCCAGTAGGAGAGGAACTTGAAGTCCAAATGTCACACAGCCTTATTAATTGCTTACTATCATCCCA